ACCCCCCTTTCCCCTTTCTACCCCCTCTCTTAACCATTGGCAACACGTCTAGGTGAATGTCAAGCAAGTGAACGTCATGTGTTCGTTCAACTCGGTAGCATTGCCAGACTGCTTGGCGCTGGCGTCGGCGGAGGACTTGACGATTGGCACGATCGACAACATCCAAAAGCTTCACGTGCAAACGGTGCCGCTGAACGAATGGCCGCGGCGGCTGGCGCACGACCCGACGTCGCACACACTGGCCGTGTGCACGGTCAAGTACTCGATGGACGCAGCAGCAGCTTCGGACGCCACGTCCAGCGTGGACGAGATGGAGGTGAGTTTTGTGCGGCTCGTGGACGACCAGTCGTTTGACACGCTGTTCTCGTACCGATTGGATCCCTTCGAGTCGGCTTGTTCGATCGTACACCTGACGTTTGACGGGCATCCGTACTACGTCGTGGGCACGGCGTACGTCCACGAAGAGGAGAACGAACCGCACCAGGGCCGCATCCTTGTGCTGTCGGTGGTCCAGGCTAAGCTGGTGCTCGTGGCCGAGAAGGAGGTCAAGGGCGCCGTGTACTGTCTGAACGCGTTCCAGGGCAAGTTGCTAGCAGGCATCAACAGCAAGACGACGTTGTTCAAGTGGAGCGACAACGCCGAGGACGCGGACAAGGAGCTTGTGGCCGAGTGCGGCCACCACGGCCACACACTGGTGCTGTACATGGAGAGCCGCGGGGACTTTATCGCGATTGGCGACTTGATGAAGTCCATCTCGCTGTTGCAGTACAAAGCGCTGGACGGGAGTTTAGAGGAAGTGGCGAAAGATTTGAATTCCAACTGGATGGCCGCGGTGGACATTCTCGACGACGACCACTTTATCGGGAGCGAGACGGACTTTAACTTATTTTGCGTCGAGCGGCAGAGCGGCGCCACGACCGACGAGGAGCGCAGTCGACTGGACTGTGTCTCTGAGTACCACGTCGGCGAGTTTGTCAACCGATTCCGCCACGGCAGTCTGGTCATGCAAGAGCAGGGACAGGCAACCACGAGGACGCCGCTGCTGTTTGGGACGGTCAGCGGCATGATCGGATGTATCTTACCCCTAGACAATGCGCAGTATGGGTTCCTGCGGCGCGTCGAGTCGGCGCTGAACCAAGTGATCAAAGGCGTGGGGGGATTGCTGCACAAGGAATGGCGCATGTACGAAAGCAAGCGAACCGTGAACGAGGCCCGAGGGTTCGTCGACGGCGACTTGATCGAAGGCTTCCTCGACCTGACCAAACCCCACCAGCAAAAGGCCGTGGACTTGCTCAATGTCGACGGCGCCATGGACGGTCGACCTCCCGTGACTGTCGACGAGCTCACGTCGATCGTTGAAGCATTGGCGCAGCGACATTAAGCACACAAACACATCCGATTTCCTCTGAGTAGTTATGGTTAACAAGATCTTGTTCCGTATCCGTATCCGGATACCTTCTTCGTTCGGGCAAGTACACATGACATTTTGCGAAAGGTGGCCGCTACAGTACCAGGTTAGATACTCTGTGGCATGGCGGCGGCAGCACCTCCGATGGACACCACGAATGTCCTTGGACGCTCACCCCAAGCATCGATTCCAAAGATGCTGTTGAACCTAGATGAGGAAGAAGTCAAAGAAGCAGACGAGGCACACGACAGTAGCCCACCGGCAGGAACGATGCCGTCGTTGTTGTTGCCATCGAATCGATTGACACCGGACGATCCTGCACAACGTATCCCACATAACGAAGAGGAAAGCAGAAACAGGAAGCAAGATGCTCCATCCTCGCCTCCTAGTGAGAGCCACGAGCCCGTTGACGAGGATGGACCGTCGTCGTATCTCCGCAAAAGCATCGATGTCGAGGACATCGACGTCCCAATCTCCAACGACGACTTGATGCGATCTCTGGATGCAGAACTGGACAAACGTCGGCCAGACACGTACATCATCACGCAATTGTGCCGCGATCTGGGCGAAATCCCGACCCAGTGGCGCGCTCGTGTGTGGAAGGAACTCCTCTGTCCTGGCGGCATCAAAGCGGAACTGCCGGTCGTGTCCCCGACGGAACAAGACGACCCGAACCAGCGCGTGATCCGTGCGGATGCGCCGCGCACCCGGGCCAAGGACTTTCCAGCCGACTCGCGGGAAGCCGTCGAGCGGACGTTGGTGCACATGCTGACGTACTATTGCAAATGCAAGAACATTCGATACAAGCAAGGCATGAACGAAGTGCTGGCGCCGTTTCTTCTCTTGCGCGGGATCTCGTCCATGTCGTCGTCGTCTTCAGGATGGACGGACGCCGTCGTGTACCAATGCTTCTACTCGTTCATTGACAAGTTCTTGACCAATGTATTCTCCGACCGGGAGTTTCGGTCGCTGCAGTGCTCTATGCGGCTGCTGCGGCTGCTTTTGCAGTACCACGACCCCGTTCTGTGTACGCAACCAGCCCCCTTGATTCATTCACAATCGCGTTGATTCTTGCGATGACGACGTGGCGGTGTGGTGTTTGTTCTAGGCGCGCACTTGGACCAGCACGACATGACCCCCGAGCTGTATGTGACATCGTGGTTCATGACGTTTTTCACTCGCCACGAATCGCCCGACCTCGTGTTTGCCCTCTGGGACACGGTTCTACTTGCGGACGACCCCATCTTGCTGCACTTTTTCGCGCTCGCGCTGCTCGAAGACAGCCGCGACCGCGTCATGCAGGCCGACGTGGCGGAGATGCCGCAGGTGCTGGCTCGTCTCACGTTTACATCGGTGGCGCATGTGCACAAGCTCACGGCCGTCGCGCAGGACCGACTCGCCAACACCCCTGCGTCCTTTCGCAAGGATGTCCTGCTGGTACAGTTGCTTGGGCGGCTTCCCCCTGAGGGATGAGTATATGATGATGATAATCGCGATGTGTAGGTGTGCTATCGCCCCCTCACGGACAGGTCGTTGCCGGCGCTGCGGCACATGGGCGCGGCGCCGTGCTTGAGCTTGCATGCCCAAGAAGTGGCGGCTCACATGGTCTCCAAGATCCAGACCAACAAGACCTCCCCCAACGGCTTCACCTTGCTTGTCCTGGACTGCCGGCCGTTTGCTGCCTTCCAGGAGTTTCACTTTACCTTGTCGTACCACATTGACCCGGACGTACTTGCCAGCCCCGAAGCATTCAACGTGTTGCTGGATGGGTTTGGCCGCATGAAAGACTGTCATTTCTGCTTTCTCGGGGACCAAGCGTCGCCGCAACGCGGGTCCCCCGACGACCCCCCTACTAGTAGTAATAGTAGTAGTCCGCCGCCGGCAACCCCCCCCGCGACGTCGTCCTCGAATGACCGATCGACGGAGAGCGATATGCACGTGACCCGGTTCGTGCTGCTCTTCCTCCAGCATGGCTTTCCGCATGTCAGCCGAGTCCAAGGCGGCGTCGACGCACTGCGCGCCGAAGTGGCCGCGCATGCCGACGCCGAGCTTGTAGACCAATTGACAGTCGGCGAGTGGAGCGGACCGGACGATCCATATTCGCTCAAATCCAAAGCGAAGAAGCTGCTGCTGGGCAAACTGCCCACGCTCACGCAGCGCTTTCGCGGCGCCATGAAGCCGTTTGCGAAGAAAGCGCCGTCATTGTTGGAGGGGGATACGACGCAGGGCCCCCTTGTGGACGAAGATGAGTGGGTCGAAGTGGTCGTGCGGAGCAAAGAGGTGCTCAAGCGAACGAGTAGCAGCAGCAGCAGCCCCTCGATCGCCCCCACCAAGCAAGTGCTGTTTGGGTCGGGCAAGCTCGGGATTCTGTTTAAAGGCATCGACAAGAGCCCGATCACAGTCGACAGCGTCGTGCCCAAAGGTCAAGCCGACCTGACCAACCAGATCGAGCGGGGGGACGTCCTCGTCGCGGTCGCCGGCCAGAGTGTCCACGGCATGAAGTTCCATCACGTGATGGACATGCTGCATGCCGCCGCGCGCCCCATGACGCTTGAGTTCTCGCATCCGTCGTCGCGGCTCCTGGATGTGCTGGACGCGCTGTCGGTATCGCCGCATGCGCCCACCATGCTTCGCAACGGACCGTACTCACTCAGCCTCCTCTGGGACACTGTGCCCGGTGCGACACGGTACCAACTGCAGTTTGCAATGCAGTCGGAGCACCGCTTCCATCCGTGGGCGACTGTGGCCGTCAAGAACCGGTCGGGGGTCGGCCTCTTGGACCACATCGCAGCCCCCGCCGTGTCGGCTGGAACGTTGGTAGGTCTGGAACCCAATGAAAAGTACCTCGTTCGACTTCGATGCGGCACCGACTCGACGTGGGGGGTGTACAGCGAAGCGAGCGCGGTGCTGTCGACACTTCCCCTCGACAACACACCCAAACTCGCCAGTCCCCGCGCCACCACCACATGTGTGACATCGTCGGTAGTGTTTCTCGCCGGCGAGTGCCCCGACGTGGTAGAGCTCGGGTTGTTTTACTACCGCGTGCTCATTGGGCTTCGCGCGCGGTCGGGTCCGTCCTACGAGGCGCCGACGGTCGATGTGGCCCTGGACAAGGGGTCTCTGATCAAGTGTGAGGAAAAGGTCACGAGGGGGCCATTCGTGTTTGTGAGGTTGCAAGACACGGACTTGTGGGCGTTTGAGACGACTGTCGATAATGCGGCCGTGCTGGAGAGGTTGGCATTTGAAGATAAGCAGATAAACAATCACGTCGTGCCTCAAAGCAACAAGCCGGCTTCGTTACCAAGTGTGCAACCTCTTTCGCAGCAACGGATGCTCATGCCGCCCACGGGACTTGCCGTCCAAGCCCCGACCACTTCGTCGGTTGTGGTGTCGTGGGAAGGGTTGCTGGATCCGCTCGTTGTCAAGTATCAAGTCCAGTACTCGAAGAACTCGATATTTGGGGCGATGTGGGTGTCCAAGGACGTGTCGAGTCAACTCAATTCGTGCGTGTTGACTCAATTGAGTCCCGGGACGCCGTACGTCGTGCGCATTCGTGCTGGCTTTGAGACGTCGTGGGGACCGTTTTCCCCCAAGTCCGCCCCGGTCAAGACCATCGAAGACGATCATCCGCCGGCCAAGTCGACCACTTCTGGACCCCCCCCCACGTTTTTCTTGAATTCGTTTGTCGAGCGCGCGGCGGAAACGGCTGCTGTCGCCGCTCGGTCCGTCTCGGCGCGGCTCACCCGCACCGCGAGCCAAGACCTCATGGACGATACTTCAAACGAGATGGTCATGGACGACCTGCCGTCTTTAGTAGTCAACGTGGAAGAGATGAAAGCGACCGCGTCGACGGAATTCCGCTGGTTTGCCGCGCAAAAGGTGTCGGGCGACTTGGAGTGGACGTGTGACGTGGTTGTGTCCCATGGTAAATGAGACATTTGGACATGGTGACATTTCCGAGCATTTGATTGGATGGATGGGGGTAGGGTATGTGATGGCGATTTGCCCCGAGGTGGATCGCCCCGGCTGGGGGCGCATCGAAGACAAGCGGCAGCTCAAGTTGCTGTCCAAGATCACGTCCAAGCGGGGTCTGCAGACGTCGGTGCTGTTTCATTTCAAGGTTGGATTTGTGTGATGAAAACCGTGGAGAATTGTCATATTGGTTGTGGGCGTAGAAGCAGGAAGGGAGCGACGAAGACGCCGAGACGCTGGAGTTTCTCATTCACGATCGACAAGCATGCCTTCAGCTCGTCAAAGAGCGCTTCCTCGCGATCACTGCCAAGCCAAAAGCTTAAACTAACATCATGTGACCTTATTTACCCTAAAAATACACTCGAGAAAGTGTCCAAGGTTTGGCTATTCCACGGGAAAGTTGTGGATATAGTTAGAACATTGAAAGAACGATTGGGATGGCAATCATGTGAGAGAGTGCGTTGTCCTCCATATATTGGCTTCAGCGGAAGGTTCGAAACACAGGGACCCCGTTCAATCGACCGAACCGGACCCAGGAGGCTGCGGGAAATGATCGACTTTTCCATCCTCAAACAATATGGCAGTACATTGTTACACGATCGGATTTTAGTTCATACTTCACCTGGTTGACAGAAACCTTGGTCGTTGCATCTTCGTTGGTGATTTGGTCGTCAACCTAGCTCCATGGAACTGCTGAGACACCTCTCTAAATATTTGTATCAGGGTGCGTCTGGTAACATTTTAAAAATATTATTCCATCTTCTCGCAAAATGAGATGAACATTTTCAAAATGGAGGTAAAAGGTCCATCCATCTCTTCAACGAGTAAATCCCACGTGGAATGATTAGGTTAAAACCCTTCAAGTAAAACATGTTTCAATTTTGATCAGATTTGTTGAATTCGACCCCAAAATGGCGTTTTGGGCCTGAATATTACTGCAATATTTCCGGTTACCAGACGCACCCTCAACAATTGGGGTACTACACCACTTCCCGTTCAAGTTGAAATGAATTTCCAGTCAATGTGAAATGCAGAAATATTATAAGATTTCACAAGTGCAGTTTCACATCTCAACATGAAAAATGTTCACTTCAAAATGAAACGTTAAACTTACTTCAACTATAGTATAGTAACCGTAAGGTGATGAATTATACTACCCTTCAGTATACAATAGTGATTCAATAATCATGTCTACCCTCCCTCACCCATCTTCCTCCTTTATCCAAATCATACACCAGAATATATATGAAACAAAGTATGTTTCAAGTTGAATGTTAGAGAATTCATGTTGATTTGAAAATCGTCGTGTTTCGAACGTGTTCATTTCACATTGACTGGAAATTCATTTCAACTTGAACGGGAAGTGGTGTAGTATTTCCCAGGATCGTCCGAAATTTGTCACGATCGTCCAAGTACTGTATACTACCGGTTAATTGAGTTTGGATTATCATTTTTAAGACATTCCTCCGCGAGGGCCGACACTAGAACCACATGTTATGGAACCGCTTCGCCAATTGTAACGCGCCTGCTCGACCAGGGGCGGTGTGTAATCTTCGGTTTTTACTTCGCTCAACGCTTCATACCTCGTGCTTCGACCGATCTTCTTCGAAGTTCGGTCCTCGTCTTCGTACGCAGCCCTTGTTATCCGGATTCCCCAGGGGAGGGACGGATAAATCCTTGCGGAAATAATCCGGGGAAGCCGGGTATCGAACCCACGACCTTTGAGTTAAGAAACCGATGCTCTAACACCTGAGCTATTCCCCCCCCTACTGTATACTACCGGTAGAGTATGGGTATTTGGGAAATATTATTATTCCCATTCATGCAACTTGCTTTGATTGGCTAAAAGCATTTGAGTAAAACGACTAGGTTACTTTGCAAGTCCGACTGCCGATTGTGGCACCAGGCTTCGGACTTCATATATCTTTGAAATAATAATCTAGATAAGATAGAAAAAATAGTCTATTTCTTATGTGACGTTGGATGTAATAATCTATTTTCAGGGCTGGTAAATATCGATACCTTATTTTCAAGCTTCGGCTAAGAAGGATTCATTGGTCATGCGCCTGTTGGACCCTGGCACAGTTACAGTCCCCAGTACGCCGTTGAGGTACGCGGATGAACTTTT